CAAATTTTTGTGAGATGTATTTTTTACAACTAGAGTCTCTTTAAAAGGTTTGGAATGTAAACTTATCAGCAAGCCATAGTTATGTGCAGAAATAAGATTTTTGAAGTAATAGTTAATTACTTAAATTTTTAAGCAGTTGTCTCATTTGACCTTCATAATGACTTCATGGCTTAATTGTGTATATTATATAAAAGTTAAGAAGTGAGGGGAAGAAACCGTAATATATTGGACAGCTGGTTTGGAAATGTTCTTTATCCAGTTTTCCTCATATTTGTCTATGTGTATAAAAAGACAATAATGTCAGAATCACTGTAACCTGTTACATAGAGATAAAACATTTATTTATTTCTACCCATACTTTAAATTCAGAAATAGAGGGGCTATAGTGATGGCTTAGTGATTAAGAGTGCTTACTGCTCTTGCCGGGGGCCCTGGTTCAGGTCCTAGCATTCACATGGTGGCTCTGGTCCTCTTCTGAGCTCCTCACTATGCATCCATACATGTAGGCAAAACACTTGTACACATAAAAATAAATAAATCTTTATAAAAATTTCATAACTATGTATAAAACTCAATCGATCTTTAGGATGTTGTTTCTTATTATTTAGGAAACAACCAGAGGGGTGCCTGTGGAGAGCATGAAAATTATTTATGAGAGCAGATCAACCATATGAAGGAAGGGAATTGGAGATGATTTTTTAAAAGCAATGAAAGCATTGGGTCTTGGACAATGTGATCTGATAAATAAGGCATCATTTCATTTTCCAAACCTAGAGGAATGTATTTTCTATTACTTTGTAGGATACTGAGAATATATACTACTTTTTTTTCTACCATTATTCTTTGATGACTGAAGGGTAGGAAAGAGTTAAGGTCTTTCGATTACAAGAAAGATAAATGAAAGGATAGCATCTTATAAGGAACCTCTGATAAGCAGAGAAAAATTTGAGCTCTCATTTAAATATGCTACTGGATGTGTTCTCAGTGTTAAAAATATCAGTATATTCAGCTGTATATGGTCAAAATGATCTTGCAAGTCTTTGGCTACTCTGATATTAATAGAGTCTGAATACCTGGAGTTCTAAGAAGGCAAGTTTTTGACAAATTAATGAAATTAAACAAAAAATAATTTATAAGTAACCAAATGAATATTTTATCAAATTAAAAATGTTTCAATGTACTTTTCATAGTTAATTGTTTTGTCTTCTTGCAAAAAAATAATAATACAGTGAGAAGAAAGTAAAATTATTATTAAAGCATACCAAATTTTACAGAAAATATGGACCGAAGTAATCATGGAAATATTGGAAATAGTAAGATAGATACAATGTGATGTTAACATGGTTAAAAAAACTTCAACAACTGCAAATCATATTTCAGATGACCAATTATACTGGGTCTAGTTAAAAATGATAGTTGTATTAACTTAGAATGAAAATGAGTTTGAAAAGTTATTCTAAGAGCTTAACTAAAATATAAACTTACATAAGCAATTCATTTGCTGTTGGTTTTAAAACTCATCTCACATGTTAAAAAATTATGATATGAGTAACTAATTTCAATTTTTTTCAGTTGACTTTATTTTTGGTGAAGTCTTAAAATTATGGAAATTATATTTTATTTTACTGTGATTGCTACAGTATGCATGCAATAAATCATTTATTTAAGTGTAAATTGTGTACTGCTTTTTGGGGGGGATTTTTGTTCTTTGATAATGAAATACCATGTTTTGTTTCCTTGATTGTAGACAAAAGGTTCTCAAACTATGACAGCCGCTGGCACTCAGAAAAAAGTTAAGAGAACACTACCAAATCCCCCTCCAGAGGAGGTATCCACAGGAACTCAATCAACTTACAGCACAATGGGCACTGTTTCCAGGAGAAGGATATGCAGAACCAACACCATGGCTCGAGCCAAGATTCTCCAGGACATAGACAGAGAGCTTGATCTTGTGGAAAGAGAGTCTGCCAAGCTTAGAAAGAAGCAAGCTGAACTGGATGAAGAAGAAAAGGAAATTGATGCCAAGCTACGGTACCTGGAAATGGGAATTAACAGGAGGAAAGAGGCATTATTGAAAGAGAGAGAGAAGAGAGAGCGTGCCTACCTGCAGGGTGTAGCTGAGGATCGTGATTATATGTCTGACAGTGAAGTCAGCAGCACCAGACCAACAAGGATAGAAAGTCAGCACGGTGTTGAGAGACCACGAACCGCTCCCCAAACTGAATTCAGCCAGTTTATACCACCACAAACCCAAACAGAATCTCAGCTAGTTCCTCCTACAAGTCCCTATACACAATACCAGTACTCTTCTCCTGCTCTGCCTACCCAAGCACCGACTCCATACACCCAACAATCTCATTTTCAGCAGCAAACATTGTACCATCAGCAAGTCTCACCTTATCAGACTCAACCAACCTTCCAAGCCGTGGCAACAATGTCCTTCACACCCCAAGCTCAGCCCACTCCAACCCCACAACCATCTTATCAGTTACCATCCCAGATGATGGTGATACAACAGAAGCCTCGGCAAACAACACTGTATTTGGAGCCCAAGATAACATCCAACTATGAAGTGATTCGCAACCAACCCCTGATGATAGCTCCTGTTTCTACTGATAATACATATGCCGTTTCCCATCTTGGGAGTAAGTACAATAGTTTAGACTTGAGAATAGGTTTGGAGGAAAGAAGCAGCATGGCAAGCAGTCCGATATCAAGCATATCTGCAGACTCTTTCTATGCAGACATTGACCACCACACTTCGCGGAATTATGTCTTAATAGATGATATTGGAGAGATTACCAAGGGGACAGCAGCATTAAGCACAGCATTTAGTCTTCACGAAAAGGATCTGTCCAAAACAGACCGTCTCCTTAGACCCACAGAGACACGTAGGTCTCAAGAAGTGACAGATTTCCTAGCACCTTTGCAGACTTCCTCCAGATTGCATAGTTATGTGAAAGCAGACGAAGACTCAATGGATGATCCTTATGAGTTGAAGCTTCTGAAACACCAGATTAAACAAGAGTTCCGCAGGGGAACAGAGAGTCTAGATCACCTTGCTGGTCTTTCACATTATTATCATTCTGATACAAGCTATAGACACTTCCCCAAATCTGAGAAGTACAGCATCAGTAGACTCACACTTGAAAAGCAAGCAGCCAAACAATTACCAGCAGCCATACTTTACCAAAAGCAGTCAAAGCATAAGAAATCATTAATTGACCCTAAAATATCAAAGTTTTCACCTATTCAAGAAAGCAGAGACCTTGAACCTGATTATTCAAGCTATATGACTTCCAGCACTTCATCTATTGGTGGTATTTCTTCTAGGGCAAGGCTTCTTCAAGATGATATCACTTTTGGCCTCAGAAAAAATATTACAGATCAACAAAAGTTTATGGGATCATCACTTGGCTCTGGACTGGGCACATTAGGAAGTACCATTCGGTCAGCTCTGCAGGATGAAGCAGATAAGCCATATAGCAGTGGCAGCAGGTCCAGGCCTTCCTCCAGACCATCTTCTGTCTATGGACTTGATTTATCAATTAAGAGAGATTCTTCCAGCTCATCACTAAGACTAAAAGCACAAGAGGCCGAAGCTCTCGATGTGTCCTTTGGTCACTCATCCTCTTCTGCCAGAACTAAGCCTACCAGTTTGCCAATCAGCCAGAGTAGAGGAAGGATACCAATTGTAGCCCAGAATTCTGAGGAGGAAAGTCCCCTCAGTCCTGTTGGCCAACCAATGGGAATGGCCAGGGCTGCAGCTGGACCCCTGCCACCCATATCTGCAGATACAAGGGATCAGTTTGGATCAAGTCACTCATTGCCTGAAGTTCAACAGCATATGAGAGAAGAATCACGGACACGGGGGTATGACCGTGACATAGCTTTCATCATGGATGACTTCCAACATGCCATGTCAGACAGTGAAGGTAAATTGGGCCTCAGACTACCCTGTTACTCTCAAAACTCAAACCCTTACCTTTTTGCATGCTTAATTTTCCTTCTCGAAAGATGTATTCTTTCTTGGTGTGTGTTTTGCATGTTTACTTCTAATTTATTTCTTGTACATGGAAATTTTATCTTGTGTATTGATTTTGTGGCATGTTATTCTCTGATTAATTTTAGTCTATTATTTTATTCTGTTTCTTGTTTGTTGGTTTGCTTGTTTCCTGTCTTCTTTTCTTAAACAATTATTAAATAATTCTATCAATAAAATATGGTCATCTTTTAAATCCATAATTTGGAAGCTTTTCTTTGTATGGCACTTTTCATTTTTAAAAATATATTTAGATATATGTAGTCAGTTTTAGTTTGTGTAATCATTAAAGGTTAGAGCCAATAAGAACTGTTTGACTAGATGTTGTGATAGAGATAACTGTTCACTAGGTCAGAGGTTATTCTATTTTTGAGAACTTTTCAGTTTCTGATCTTAGTATAATATATAATTTTATGATTCTCATTAAATTTGTTTCATCTCCCTTCATTATGAAGACTACAACTGACAAATTTGTACATTCGTGTTACATGCTACAAAATTTAATTCTGATTGAGATATTGAAAAAGAAATCTTTTTAGTATATATAAAACAATCTATTTAAAACTCAAAAGATAAAAACTGCTTTGCAGAGTGAGACTGTTGGAGTTCAGGACTTCGTGTTTTGTCCAGTTGACTTTTCTTTGCCTTTGCCTTTCTAACATTACATATTGCTGTACAAACTTGTTTTTCTAGTTTTTCATGTTGAACAAGTACCCACTAAACTAAAATGTGGTTTGAAGTAGAAATTGTACTTGTTTAATCATATAGAACCATAAAAATTTTAGAAAGTTCTAAGTGTGGCGGCACACACCTTTAATCCCAGCACTTGGGAGGCAGAGGCAGGTGGATCTCTGTGAGGTCGAGGCCAGCCTGGTCTACATAGTGAGTTCCAGGTCAGCTGGAACTACAGGAAGACCCTGTCTCAAAAAGACACCCCCCCTCAAAAAAATAGCTCCTACTTTTAAAATTGAACATATTCAGAAACCAAGGTTTCAGTGTGGAGAAAGATTGGGAACACAGATAGAGACTTTTGATGCCTTAACTGCCTTAACTATTACCTATGTCTCAAAAAGACCAAAAAAAAATTTTTTTTAAGAAAGTAATCCAGTGCAGACTATAATTTTGAACACAGAGAAGTTGTAATAGGGCATGCCATAATTTTCTCTTATTTATTTATTTAGACAGATCTTACTCTATAGCTCATGCTGAGTTGGAACTCACTATGCAGATCGGGCTGGCTTCATTTATGGTGATTCTTCTGCCTCAGCCTTATGAGTGATTTTGCCAGTTGTTTGAGCCACGATGCCTAGCCTTTTGTGATAGGTAATTCCCTCTGTAGTTTGTGTTTGAATATATGCAGGCTTGAGGTCCTGGAAATAAAATATTTCTGAGCAAATAAAAACATTATTATCTCATTCTTTTGGAGACCAGAACTAATGTTAATATCTCCCTTTTAAAACTTCCTTGGTGAAAACTCACAGGGAAATATGTTCATGAAAAGCATTTTCTTTCTATTTTTTTATGTAGATAGATATATGATTTTAGACACTGAAGTACAGAAGTTTTACTGAGATAAATGGTACTGAAATAAAACAGATCATTTATTTTCTTTTGAAATTTCAGTAGACTGGTCTCCTTTTTATTTGTTTTCCTCTTTCCTACCTCACTGGTTGACCATTTTTATTGACAGTTTGTCACTTAAATAAAACACTCTATTTGTATATTTTTTTACTAGACCAAATCTACATAACTTACTAGAAATTGTGATAGTATGTGAAAACAGTTGTCCTTTTTTTTCTAACACACATTATACACATATAGAATGATTGTTGAAAAGAGTAGTAAGCCTCTTCAATATACATATCTGTAAAAATAAAAGAAAAACTCTTGGGGATTTATGGTAAACATCACCTAAAGGCTATGTGCAACAGAGATCAACAATTTTCTGTAAAGTTTGACAAATGGAGTTATTCTCTTGAATCTTTCTTTAGCTGGGTGTTAGATATGTAGATACTTACAGCTATCTCAGTATGTAGCATGTATTTGATTCCATCAATACTAGATTAACTCACTATTCCTTATTTCTGTGTTTGAATGGTGCATGTTCGTATTCATCAATGACTAGACTACTGTTTTGATAAAAAATGTAAGCTATCAGGCATCCTTCAGAACAATGAGGTGAATAAAGATGATGCCAAAGTAGAAAGCATTGAAGAGAAATTTAAGAACTAAAATGTGTTTGAAATGAGGCAGACGAAATTTATTCACAAAGTTATCAATACAGAATTTTGTAAAGAGCAGCTATGACAATTTGAATTAATTTAGTAACTCTATGTGTTTCAATCATACTATTTGTGTTTAAAAGATTTGCACAGAAGCCTGACATGGCAGCACCCATCTTTAATCCCTCTACTCAGGAGGCAGAGGCAGACAGATCTCTGTGAAATACAGGTTAACCTGGGATGGTCTACATATGGAATTCCAAGCTAGCTGGGACTACATAGTAAGACTTTGTCTCAGAAAAGAAAAAAAAAAGTTTTGCACAGTAAAATATTAAATATTTTCTTTGTTTTCACAACACGTGACTTTTTTTCTAATGAGCAATGCTCTTTTAATTGAAATCATGAATTCCGTAAATATTTAAGGAAGAAAAAAATAGTTCCTGTAACAGCAGCCCTGAGGCACAGACAAGCAGATCCCTGGGGCTCACTCACCAGCCATGTTAACCAAAAGAGAAACTCCAGGTTAAGTGAGGTACCATGTCTCAAAAAAATAAAATAAAATAAAATAAAAATAAGGTGGAGAAGGTATTGAAAAAGACATCCTGATAACAGTCTCTGGTCCACACATGGCTATACTGGCAAGTGCAGGTACACCCACAGAGGGGCATATATACATATATTTTAAAAAGATTTTCTCAATCCCATTTTTCTTAGTGTTTATAAACTCAAAATGTTAGGGAATTTTTACATAAATTTTAGCAGATATAATCTTATCCCTGTATTTAACTATTAAGATAATTTTTGAACAGTATAAGATGCATTAGTTTATTTAGTATCAAATGTGCTGTTTGCAAATTTTTCTGCACTCCCTCTGAATTCAGTTAAACTTGCTGCAGACTATCAGGTGCTCTTCAGCTGTATTCTCTAGGACTCTATTTTCTTCCTCTTTTGACTTGTCACTTGGAATAAAAGCTAGGCAGGTATAATTTATGTTGCTTAGTATTTATGGTCATTCACAAATCTACTTTTACCACCACAGTCCTGTGTTGAAAATATTATTTTAAATGCGGCTTGTCCCACTGCCCCCAAAAGTAGATAGGTTGATAGATGGATTTTTATAAAACTATAATGAGGCCCAAAAATTCCAGCATAAAAGTGGGAAAGTGAGTAAGAAACTCCATCTCCAGCTGAGGAACTATTGGTAACCAATAGCTGCTGGGAGGAGGAAAGTCAATCTTTATCAAGGGTTAAACTTTGGGTAGATTAACCAGGCTCCAGTGGATGAGAGCACAAATTAGACTCAATAGGCCATTATATAAATATATGTTTACACATATATGTATATATTTATGTATGTATATATATATATATGAATAGAGTACATGAAATCAGGTGGGGGAGTAGTAAGGGGATGCAGATGGGGGTATAAATATGATAATATGTTGTGTGGAATTCACAAAAATTCAATTAAAAATCATGAAAAACAAATATATAAAACTATTTGACCACTATGTGATACTGATCAGAATTAAACTCTTTGTCAGACCATTCTTATGAGTAACATTACATTTTCAAATAGTTTATTTGAATTTTGCTTTGAAAAATTCAATATTACTAACTTTTCATAGAGGGTATTAAATTCTAGAAAATTATTTGAACCAGCTTGAAAGAAACATGTTATTTTTTTTTCTTTTTGGTCTTTTTGAGACAGGGTGTCCTCCTAGCCCTAGCTGGCCTAGAACTTGCTATGTAGACTTGGCTGGCCTCCATCTTACAGAGATCCTCCTGTCTCTGCCTCCCGAGTGCCAGAGTAAAGGTGAGTACCACTTCACTCAGCACAGAAGCATGTTGCTTTTTGTAAATTATATTTTTATTGTGCCTCCACTATGGCAAATAAAACCACTGTTATAAACAGCTAACCCTAATATATACCTCAATTTAATTTAATTTAATTTAATTAGTACTCAATATTTTTACTCAATTTAAATAAAACTCAATAAGGAAGATAGAATTCAATGCAAAAGCAGATTCACTCAGTCTGGTTGTTTTTGGTTGATTCTATATTCCTATTAAAGATGGTGAATATTCACATTCAGTTCATCTAGGACTATTATTATAAACAGCAGAAAAATCACAGCAAGTAATCAAAACTAGAACTAAACTGATGAATATCCGACCATATTTTTATAGCCATAGCCCCCCAAAACACATGTTTTTAAACTATTGTATTTAAAATGCAATTAGGTAAGTTATATATCCAAATGAAATAACTACTGTATTATTCATGAATCACTTATAGCATTATGAACTATTATTTTCTTTTTTGAGAAATGCATGTAAGATATATACAAAATTATATTCTCCTTAAGGAAATTAAGCATATTCTATTAAGTTCACAGACTGATGATCAAATGATGACTGTTTTATTTTTATTTATCGACTATCTCTTAACATTAAATAATTTTTTGGTAAATTTAGTCACGACTTCAAGTGGACACTGTAGTATACATAATAAGTACTGACTGTGAAGATTGACTATTAATTAGGTTTAGAGACAAATTTTTTGTTTGTTTTCAGTTGTATGTTCTTTTTGAGACAGTGTCTTCCTGTAGCCCCAGCTGTCCTGGGACTCACAATGTAGACCAGGCTGGCCTTGAGCTCACAGAGATCTCTCTGCTAAAGACAAATTATTTTGATATGCTCATACTTATGATGCTTGGCTTCTTTCTCTAGTTGATGACTACTCTATCCTTCACTCATTCAACAAATAATTATTTAAGTTATGCTTTGTGTAAGACAATGCTTTTATTGTTGAGGGAGCAAAAATAACAAAGGAGATATGAGCTTTCTGTATAAGCAATTTAGTTTGATAGGCAAGATCAGTTAAGTATCTGAGTATCCACAATCCAGGCATGCATTCCTGGATTTCCTCAAATCTAAGGTTGATGAAACCATGATATGGCACCTCTCATTTTATATTTACATGGGGAACATGGTGTGCTTAAGGAGCAGTGGTGAATAAAGCCACTGTATACAGCCTTACATACACTGGTGCATACACTGGATTGTCCAAAAAATGATAAGGATAATATGGGGACAAGGTCTTGGGAAGAACTTTTACGGGACAGGTTCCCAGTGTGCTTTCCAAAGGTGGTTAGCTGGGGACCAAGACTATCACCAGGGGTTCCAAGAATATAAAAATTTATAATAAGTCAAATACTATATATTCAGTAAAATGAAATTTTAATCAATATATAATATCCTTAAGAAACCTAGGAAGAACTGATAGAGTAAGGTGAAACATTTTAAATAATATTTGAATGCTTAAAATGTTTTTTAATATTATTAAGTTTTATCATTGTGTAAGTTAATAAACAAGTAATTCTCAAATTTCTAAATCAGTCTTTTATCAGAAAATAATAATTTTATTTGTATTAAAAATTTTTATAGGTGGATTGATTTTTAGATATATTTTAAATATTAAACTACTAAGCTTTTGTGGCACACATGTACCTAGCAGTAACACATAGGATATCCTAGAATTAAATACTTTTATTTATGAATTTAAATAAATGCCATATTTTCAAAAACATATTCATTCAGGTTTAAAACAAGCAGCTATATATTGCTACTTGGTTTATATAAAGCCAGAAATTTAACAGAAACTTACATACTCCAGGGTTGAATTTGCTTTTGACTTTTAGTCGTACATGGTGGGGAAATGCTCATCAATGGAAACTATTAGATTAGGGTTGAATGAAATTATTCTTGTTCCTTTATGTATTTATTTTATCATCTAAACGTTATACTGATTTAAAATATAATTTTGTGTTGTTTTATTTTGTTCTGAGATAATGCACTTTAGAGTGTATCATTTTCAATAGGCTATTCTTTTGTATGAAAACTTTTAAATACTAATGAAAATGATTTTTCTAGTCTCGTTGGGAGTTGTGTCTAAAATGCATGCCATAGCTAACAAGCCCGATGCATGTTAATACCAGAGAACATCTGCTTCCCTCTATCATCTGTATTAGTTGCAGTTGCAATGTATGTTATTTCCTTGGTCTCCAAAGCCTATCACTTGCGTCGTGAGGAAACGGATTGGTTTGATAAACCCAGAGAGTCTCGCTTGGAAAATGGCCATGGTCTGGACCGAAAACTGCCAGAAAGATTGGTTCACTCTAGACCCCTCAGTCAACATCAAGAGCAAGTAAGTGTGATGCTTCAAAATCTTTTAGATTTGTCAACTACAACAGGAGTCAGTTCTAAAATAGAACGCTTTAATATCCTAAATGATTGTCAATGAATTTCACAAGTGATTCCTTTCAGTCACTTAATGAAGAAAGTTCTCCATTTCATCAGCTCTGATCACATCGGATTATAGCTCTGATGCTTCCTCCAGGCAAGTGAAATGATTCATTAATACAGTAGATAATTATAATACTTATATACATCTATAGCACTGACATACAAGGACAATACGTGGTGCTCCTGAAGAGTTTGCAAGAATATTGAGTGACATAACTTTGTGTAGTTATTAATGTTTTCCTAAAATAGCATGTTTGGAAGCTGTGAAATACCAAATATGAGGATAAGCAAGGCAAATCAGATAGGAGAGCAGGAAGGTTTCACATGGAGGGTGGAGGTTTACTGTATGGAAACAGTTGTTTTGCAATCGCTTTCAGATTTTATTTTTTTGACAACTCATAAAATATATATTTTCAATATATTTTATGAATAATGTAACTGAAACATAAGTAAATTTGAGAATTGTATAAATGTTTCCAAAATTTATGATCATACTTTAGTGCAAATGGAGTGATGTCGAGTTTAATCTTGAAAGATTTTTATTTGGGGAGCTGGAGAGATGGCTTGGTAGTTAAGAACACTGGCTGTTCTTGCAGAAGACCCGGGTTTGAATCCCAGCACCCATATGGCAGCTAACAACTGTCCATATCTCCATTTCCAGGGATCTGATAGCCTCTTCTGTCTTCCGTGGGCACTTATCTACATGCAGGCAATACACACATGCATATAAAATAAAAACAATAAATAAAATATTTTAAACAAATGAAAAAGGAAGATTTTTATTTGGAAAAAGTGGAAGTTAATCTGAGTTTTCTTAATTCAGTTGTTTAGCATGTCAGATACTTCAAGGAAGAGCATTCATGATTCTTACGTGGCCCTGAAAGAGATGGCTGACACACTTCATTATGTTAACCCTTCACTTACTCTGCTCAGTGATTTCTATGTATTAATCACAACCATATTTTAAATACCTTCATGATCTACATGCACTTAATTAAATTTATTGCACAATATTTTAATTTGGAAGACACTGATATTGAGGAGTATATAAACACAGTTTTCTGTGTAAGTACTATCAATAAATTATCTCTATCTTCAGATTTGATTTCTTCCTAAGCAATTACAGTTCTCATGGTTAAGTTGTATTAAATGTAATTACCTTTTCTACAAATTTCCATGTTTTGTTTTTCCATCTGCAATCATTTTAGAAAAATATTAAAACTCTATACATTATAAATATCATCTTTTTAGTTTTTTGTCTTTAGTGCATCCTTTATCTGGGGTTGTATTGACTGCTATGAACATATTCATATGCTTTCTTTCTTTCTATTTGGTTTTAATGTATCAGAAGATATTAAACTATGCTTTTCTTTCCATTTCTTGTTATTCTTACCATCATATTTTTAGTTTTATTTTAACTCTCATTATAAAGATCTGGGTAGGAGTGTAGACAAAAATATTTCAACAAGTTTTAAAATCTTAAATTTCCCTTAACCTGCAAATTTTAAAATAATCTCCTTAGCATAATCTTTATTTGCTTTTAAATAGTATAATTATTACATCATACCCATCTGTACCTCTGAAGCTTACTATTTCCTGCAAACCTAATAAAATTAATGAAAATGTAAATGTTATCAAAATCATATCATTTACTACATAAATTGTAGTACTTAAAAAAGACAAATACCCTTTGCTATCTAACACTGTTCCAAAGATTCAGTCCCTAAAGTTTCCTCAAAAGAAATCTCAAAAGATTTCTTCAACTAATTTCTTACTTAGCATTATTTGAGAGTACATAAATGTGATATATAAATATGATATCACAAATTATATTTTGTTCCTAGTTTTCTGATACTGACACCTACAGATGAATGATTTGATCAACTCAGGATAGAATTGATCATATTTTAAATAATTACTTATAGACTGTTGCAATGGCAAATATAAGCAGGAAAAGCTTATTAATTATTTTTTCATTTTTATTCTTATTTCAGGAAGTAAGAAGCTTTAAGATCTTCATTGGTTGAATGAAACAGCCATGTGTATTTTCTTTTTTATAGAAATCTTACACTTTAAAAGTGCATCTTTATTCGATGTACATTAAACTACAAAACAATATTCAATTGTCAAAAATGCAAATGCGTAGTTATAAATTACTTATAAAGTAAACAGCCATACAAGTACTCCAAAGACCATGACCGTGCCCCCAAAGTCTATGTGTCCCTTGTAGATTATAACCTCTCCTTCACAAAAACAAGTAATGAATATGATGGCTGTTGTAGTAATAATTTTTCACTATTCTTTATGTTTTTTCTAAGTAGATTCTAAATAGAAGATAACATGTGCTTTAACTACAAAGCATTCCAGAGTGTAATTACATAAATTTCAAAACTCATGCTTTTTTGCATTGATACCTGTCTTCAGATACTGTCTTCCTCTTTAATTCAGGAACTGTATTTTGGTCTAGAGGATAGCAAAATGGTATTTTTTTATTTAGTTCCCTTCTTTGCATATCTGATAAAAAATTCAATACTTAGATCTTGCAACAAATACACTTAGATGCTGTTATTTGAAAACATGTATAACAAGAATTTATGCTGATAAAGTATTTTGTGGGGGTGAAGAGTAAAGTCAATTGACTAATGCAAACACTAATTTATCTCCTTTAAAAATATTCCACACAAGACTTTGAACAGAAAGAGACTTATGTCTAAAAAATTATTAGAATTATAACCATATCAATGACAAAATAACAAAAAGAGTAAATTCATTTTCTTTCAAATATGTGCGTTTGTGCTTAATCTTTGCACTAGTCAATACAATTCCAAATGTTCTTTGTGAACAAATTGTCTACTCTCAATTATTTTTAAGTTTTTCCTATTTCACTTAATCCGTGAATAGGATTAGTGTCCTTTAGATGGTGATTGTAAAAGTCAGCGTATCATGACTATTATGTAATTCCTTTACTCTCTACAGATATGCCCACATCTTCTGCAAGCCCTATATAGTTGCTGCATTAGGGTACAGTAGTCTCTGCTAAAGGGACCCTGCTTTAGACTCTTGTCACTTGGTTACCTATATTTGTCACTCTTGTTACCATGCATACATGCCCTCCTGCAACAAGACATCCCGGTTACTACTACTATCTTGCAACAAACCTGGAGAACATTCTTTTCCTTTGTGCTTTGGTGTACAGTATGATTTATGTGTTTGATTGTGAATATCTACATCATAGCTGCTCTCTGTCCCATCCACCCTGCCATGTAGGTGTGTAGTGCCCAACACAATGCTGAGTCAAACCACTCAGGTACTCTCTGTCCACTGTAGCAAGCATGCACGGTAATGGAAGTGAATGAATGTGTATAACTATTAGCTATGTTAATGCAAAATTTATTTTATAAATGTGTAGACTCAATTTATGAAATATTTAGAGTTAGGAAAGAAGAATAGTGCATTTTCTGGAATGCTCATAGGCACTAGTTCTCTGCCCCTTAATGTCTCAATTAGACTCGATGCTTCCTTTGGCCATGCTCCTGATACTATTGGTAAAAGGAAAAGCTGCCCCATGACCTGTTCTCTGTCAGGATTTGCCTGCCATTGTGTTTCTGTTTTCTATAATATAGGCTCAGCCATATTGATCATAATTTAAAAGTTTAATGTTTTAGTAAGTGTACTAATAATGCTGGTTGCAAGCAGCCTTAGGAACTATGGGAGACTGAGTGGAGAGTCTCTGAAGGAAACATTCATGGAAATAATGATGTTCAGTATCTCTTCTAATATCATCATAGATATTGACTAAAAGGAAATAATGGCTCACTGATAAAACTATCATGAAAAAATTTAGATGCCTGCTTACTCTTCCAAATTGTCTAATAGATGCGCTGGGATTACATCTGTAGTAACTAGTCTAGAAATTGTAAGCCTGCTCTAAATGCAAAGAAATGTTTTATTTATTTTAACCAAGTGAGGCAACTGGTGTTTAAAAATTATCATTAAACACTATCTAGAATTTTTTTTAATGTTTGAAATAAGAATGAAGTAATATACACCAGTTGTAAGGCATAATCTCTGGTACCAAAGCAAAGTTCATTTATGTAATAGTGTTGAAATAAGACTCAGCATCAGTAGCAGTAAGTGTTACTCCTTCTACTCTGAGGAATTTCTATAGTAATGAGAAAGAGCACCATCAAAAACATAGCCTTTGATTACAAAGATGGCATCAGGAAGTATTTGAATGAGCAAAGATTTCATTTATTTAGACAGAATTAGTCTGAACATGAATCTAGCAGATGTGCTCAGTAGAATTTGAAAAGAAAACCCAAGCAACGAAACATATCACAGACTTAATTGGCGTGATGAAGCTGTAGAGTGAGATCTTCTCTGGACTTTCTCCACTAGTTTCATTTAACTGCTGAAAGTGAAAAATGCCTTTCCATTTCCAGACTGTCAAGTGAAAAATCAGAAGTGGACAGTTTTCTATATACATTACACATTATCATCAATAATGAGTGCATAATACTGTAGTGAGAGACATCTTTGAAAACCTGATATACATTCATTAATTTCTTGAATAAAACAAATCAGTTTGCAAGAGCAATTGTTTATAAATGCAAAAACCATAATGAACTCAGAAACTAAACATGATATAGTATGAATATATATCCTTCAATTATTATCATTGGAGAAGCTCTCAATATATTTGCACTGATTTAACTGGTGCACTTTGAAATAAGCAAGTCTAATTCTGCATATTGTATTTCACCTTAACACTGATTTCACCTTAGTCCGTATATGTCTTAGATTCTACAGATGAACGGGAAGACGATGCATTACATTTTTCCTCATGCCAGAATAAAAATAAGCAGAGACTCTAAGGACCACACAGTTTCAGGTAAAGCAAATCAAACAATCTTCTCATTTTATATCTTAATGTCATGTTGTCATATGTATTTAAATATCATTAAGTTTTAGAAAACCACTTTTTATCTCAAAAACTGTATTTTAAAACATGTCCAAATACATTTGAGCACACAAATCATTAATGACATGATTTTCATGTCACTAAATGGTACAGATTTAGATCTTTCTCTTCATTAGTTGTATCTTTAAAGGTACAAATTACAATGCTTAAAATCACTGTTTTAGTAAGTAACATAATCACTGTATTGTAGCGTATTTCAATCTATTAAATAATAGAGTCACTGATGGTAGAGAAATTAAAGGTCTAGAGTTCCTCTAATAATTAAATCCCTCTATAATGTATGAAGGTGAACACTGTCTATTATGCTGAGTTTTAATGATAGAATTTTAAGCTTCTCATTTTGAAACAATTTTAGACCTCCCGAAAATGGCACAAGTTGTTTTTTTCCTAATGTTGACATTTATCTAACTATGCTAAATGGATCAGCCCAAGGAAATCATCTCGATTATGGTATTATGAAGACAGTGGTAAGCCTTATCCAAATTTTGAATTTCTTCACTAACCAATTATTTTGATTACTGGTTCAAGATGCAATCTCGGGTCTCATATTTCACTTAATTGTCATAGTACCTGCATGTAACCCACCTTAATCATTTCTTAGTCTTCCTTTGTCTTTCATGAATTTGAAGCTAGTGAAAAATAATAGGACTTTCATATTTCAAATGAAATTTCCATTATTTAAATCAGTGTGATGAAATATACTTTTTCAGTTGACGAAATACCGAACACTGGGTGTTTCTTGTATTCTCCCAAGTACTTTATATTGTTTGTATTTTGTGTGCACTATACATAAACAGAAAGTATTCGTAAATATATAAAGGTGCTGCTGTGTGGTGTATGTGCGGGAGGTCAATCTAACATGGTATATGTGATGGTTTAATTTCATGTTTGTGTCTTGGTTTTGTGAAAAGGTGGTATTTCTTCAGTTGTAATTGCCATTGAAATTTTGGAGTATGGGATATGTAGCTGTGGAACAGTTTTAACTTGGAGCAATTTTGCTGTCTATTTTCACAGAGAATGAGTCAGAAATCTAATGTTGTTTTCCATTTAAGTTAGGTAATTTTTCATCTGCCAAACAAAGATAATTCAGCTTATATGTATATTGCTATTCAGACTGTATGTTTTAGTACTGATGAAATCTCAAGGTTAATGCTTAAAGTCCAGGGCTCTTTGTCCATCATTTTGTTCCTAGAAAATTCATCAGAAAGATGTATCACTTACTTAGATTATAGTTTCATTTATTGAAAAATTTAAGTCACTGAGTCCAATCAGTGCTGCAGTGGTTCTTTTGTAGAAGTTATTACTTGTTGAAAATTATTTTAGTTTCTTCCATCACATAAAACAACAGAACACTTTCTGATAATGCCAAATTTATTTTTGTAGACTATATGATAGAAATCTTTAAACCATTTCCCCTAAATTAATAAGCCCCATATCAATGTCTCTGTTTTCTACCTTTGCTTTTATTTTTGTTTGATATTAAAGAATTATCTTCTCAGCCTTACCTTCTGCAGATCATTTTTTGTTTTACTTCAACTAGAAAACGTTAAAATACAGAAATGGAAATAAGTCATAAAGACCTGGACTGGAATTCATCTCTAACATTTATTTAAATTTTGAGAATAAAATTTTTGTATGGAAAATAAGATGAGTTTGATGTCTTGTACATAATTAATTGCAAGTGACTCTAATACAAAACTTTGCACTTATTAGACACTGAACAAATATTATTTTCTCTTTGCTAGAGAGAAATGAGTTGGGATAAAAGAATAAAATGTAGCAATCAAGAAATGAAAATTCCATCTTATGGTTTCAGAAACACAGCTGTTTAAAATATGCCAAAGAACCACTAATTTTTAAAAGCAGACATGCTTTGTAGAGTTTCAGTATAGACTGGTGACATCTGTTAGGCTTCAAAGATTAATCAACAATTACAGTAACAAAGAAGGTTGAAGTGGGTAATCTTAAAAGACAGCAGAATCTTCCTTGGAAATAGGGGCTCATTTTCTATTCCTCATTATTCAACACTTTTGGGGGGATTCTATAAGCAGTAAATAAATTCTATAGATTTCATTGGCTCTGAGTAGTGATTCCAAATGTGTGTTGTTCTTTCTCATCCTTATTATTATTTTCTATATAATTTATTATTTCAATATCAGAAATATCCACTTTGAATGTTCATGTTAATTGTTTTGTTTTGTTTTTCCGGTGTTTTTGAAACAGGGTCTCCCTGTAGCCCCAGCTGGCCTGGAACTCACTATGTAGACCAGGCTGGCCTTGAACGCACAAAGATAGTCCTGCCTCTGCCTCCTGAGTGCTGGAATTAAATGCGTGCACCACCGTGCCCTGGCTTTGTCAGTTTAATTTTTGCATGCATTTTATATGAGCAAAATCAAACAATACACAGTTTTGATATCTTGCTTATCTCGTTTTCCAAAACTTTTAGATTAGTCTATATCTGTTATTTTTTTTCCTTTTCATTGCCAAATATATTCCATTCTTTTAATATTCTATATTTCACTTATCTTAATGATTTTTCCTAGGTTGTTTAAATATTTTCATACCAGTTTTAGTATGTATCTTTGTTATCTTCATTGTATGGTTTCCTAGATGTGAAACTTCTGACCTGTATCATTTCTGCTTGACTGCTTAAGAAACTGCCTACTCATTACTCAAAATGAGCATGCCATTTCACATTCCTTCCAGTAATGTCTAAGGCTTCCACTGTTCAACATCATTGTTAACTCTTGTCAATACATAGCTTTTTGGTGGGTGTAATTAATTTATACTTGTTTTAATTTGCTTTCTCTAATGATATGATTTTGAGCATCTTTTCATGTGTTTCAAAACAGCATACATATTTCCTGGTGAAATGACAGTCCAAACCTTCTGTTTGGATTATTTGTCATTTAAGTTGTTAAGGGTTTTTTAACATTACAAATAAAAAGTCTTTATAAGCTATGTTGTATTTATATATTTCTTACTAGTATGTTTATTCTCCTTTAAAGAAAGTTTTGCCAGCTGTTGTAGCTCATGCCTCTAATCCCAGAATTTGGGAAGTTGAGGGAGGAGGACTGCTGTAAAGTTGAGGCTAGGCTGGCCTGTATAGTGTGGGGGAGAAAGAAGGAAGGGGAAAAAGAAAGGGAGACACGGAAGGAGGATGGGAAGAAGGGAGGGAGGGAGAAGAGTAAAGGAAAGAAAGAAAGAAAAGAAGAAAGAACAGAAGGAAAGCCATTTCACTGAAATGAAATCCAGTGTACTGATTTTTTTCTTTTAGGGTCATGCTGCCCTTGACAGTGCACTTTGCACTTTACAGTGTCACAAAGATATCCTTTTATGTTTTCTGCATGAAACATGTAGTGTCTCATGTAGCCACAGCTTGCCTTGAGATCACTACATAACTAGAGGATGGTCCTGAAATTGTGGATCTCTGTGCTAGGATTACAGGCTTCATCATGTACATATGATGGTACATGGGATTATGCAGCTTTATACCTGACTCTTTGTATATACTTTATTAGAAGAGGTTCTTGTCATGAATGTATGCAGGGTTTTGCCACAAATTTTTACTTTGTGAAGTGAGGTGATCCTGTGTGCTTTGTTCTCTGTTATTAATAAGATACATCTTAGTTGATTTCTAGATCACAAATTACTTGTCATTCTTCACATGATTTGCATTTGTTAATAGTGTATTTTATATGCTTTGTGACTTAATTTTCTTTGTTAAGGATTTATATGTCTGTTCTATGGGTATTCTATAGATTTCCTGTGATATCTTTGAATGGTCTTGAACTATAGATTTCTAAGAGTTATGTGTAAATACCTGAGTAGCTAGCCAATGGTATGCATTAAACAACATTTTACCTTCCTATAAGACAAAGCTTCATTGCTGGATTGGCATATAGATTGTGGAGAATGTTCAGAAACTTGAATTTTTTTTCCTAAATTTTTATCTGTGTTATATATCTGTGTGATCTTCTTTAGACTAGATGTTCATTTTAGTTTAGACTCTGTCTGGCTAATTCTGAATATATACCAAGACTACATTTACCTAGAGGTATGGAGAGAGTTTATTGCTTATGATTGATCTAGTAACCAGTGGCCCAACTTGGTAGCTAGATAAACGTCAGTCATCTACTTACTCTGTTCCCTTTGGCAGCCAAGCCTCTGATTTTCATGGTCCATCCTGCCCAGTAAAATTACCATGACAACTGAGCAGGAGATATTAGCTCAGAAAAGCCCAGCAGAGTTCCACTGTTCTTCCTCATATGTCAGCAGCTGTTCATAAACAACTGCTTCTGCTTGTGTGTTTTGCTAAACTTCCTGAGTGCTAACATGGCTAATATTTATAAAACTTTGTTCAATTATATAATTCACTTGTTGAGAGATTTTATTTTATAAGCTATCTGTATTGTTTTGTCAGCATTTCCATTTTTCTCTTTTTGGTTTGTTACTCCACTTTTAATTTTCTACAGGATGTAACGGACAAATGAAGAAAATTATGAATAAACATTATTGAGCACACAATGTATGCAATGTAATTTAAGATAACGAGAATATAATACAGATACAGAACTCTGTGGAAATAGACTTAATGAATTGAGGTTAAATTTCTATCAATTGAAATTCAGTAGTTTTAAGAGTAGGTTCAGATATAAAACTCTCATGGTGACCACAAACAAAATATCAATAGATTGCACACAGTGTAAATTAGAAACTAATCAAACTACATCACTACAAAAGTAAAATTAGCATGAAATAAAGCAATAATATAGAGAATGATGTACAAAAACCTATAAAGTACACAGAAAGAAAACAGTGATTAAAATATCCAATCAAAAAGCACACATTAGCAAAGCATATTTTTAAAGAAAGATACAACCATATGCTCTCTACAGTTTATTAAGCTC